ACACTTGCCAACACTGGTTCGATTCAGAAGGTGATTTTTGGTGCCAAAGGTTTCTTCAAAATGCTTCAATATGTTTTTCTACAAAACCTCTTTCAGTTTCCAAAAGTCAAATGTGGTCTGAATTATGTATAAACTCGTTAAACCAGTGCATCCTAAACAACAGACAATGTGTTGGTCCAGTGGTCGATAGAGCGAGTCATTTCTAATGAGAAATGTTCAAATGCTTAGGAATGTATATAAAAATGAAATATAAAGAGTTATTTTTAAATGAAGACTATTAACAGCAGTGGCTTGGTGTGACTCTGTTGGATCAGTATGAGTGTCAGTAGTACTGAGTCAGAATTAAGCCTTTATAAAGGAAAAGTGTGTCTCACTAATGTGTCTCTAGTATGTTCAGACAGCAGTGAGGCTCAGTGAGACGAGGTCTGGACACAGAAAACACCTCAGTGTTTGGATGTGACACTGATTAACGTCTACTTGATTAATCAGTAGACGTACAGCACCAGTTAAAAGTTTAGACACACCCACTCATTCAGGGTTTTCTCAAGGGTTTTCCTTTGTTTCTATTATTTCCTACAGTGCAGAACAAAACTGAAGACATCAAAACTATGAAATTACAGATGGGTTATTATGTAGTGGAAAGAAAGTGATTGCTCAAAACAAATGTAGTGTACTCTCCTCCGACAGCTGTCTATCATTAGATGCTTCAGTCCAGACCACTGGCTTGGTTCAGTCTAGACACATTATAAGCATCTTCACAACTCAAATACGTGTTGCTTGTAGAGTCCCACTTGACCTTCCTGAAGTGCCAAATGTATGACATGTAAAGTTCCTAAAGGCTTGTGTTTTGAAGTACATTCGGCACCAGTCTACTCATTCGAGGGGTTGTCTTTCATTTTATTATTTTCTACAGCACAGAAGCTGAATACATCAATCAATGAAACAACACACAGAAATATTAATGAGCAAAAAAAAAATAAAAAAAATAAATATGTTTAAAAGTTTAAATTCATCATAGTAGCCACTGTTTGCCGTCATGGCATCTTTGCTCACTTCTGCTGATCTGTTGCCAGTGAAGCTTCATGGAGTCCCAACATGGAATGCTTTCAGTTAGCAGGTCAAGGTTCATGGGGGACATTTCTTCACAAGACCAGCAGTTGTGTTGGTATACAGCAGATGTTCCTACTTAACTACTGTGGCAACCCAAATCATGAGAAACAACAGTCCAGTTCAGATCAGAGTTCAAGCAACAGACACATCTCAGCTTTTGGGAAGAGACTGTGAATCAGACCTTCATGTTGGAAGAAACCACTGCTGAGCAAGACCAGAGACTGAGAAGAGCAGTGCTGCATCAGATCACCTGCCTCATGTACAAAGACTTGCGTGGATTTCATACTGAAACCTGGCCTACGTTTCAATCCAGAAAACTGCGTACGCACAAAAATATCCAGATGAACGAAAGTGAGCGTACACCTGAATCCAAGCACATTTCCTTTCTACATCTCACTCAGCGTGGAGTTAACCGCACATGTTGGAGTACCAGACTCCTCCCTCTCCACGCCCCCCAATTTAAATATGCAAATTAGTATAAACAGGGCTGACAGGTGGGATTCCCCTCTCTGCAAGCTCAGATAACAGTAACAAGGATGAACTCACCCCGTTTGAGCGGAGAGTCGCCGCTATTGTGGGTGACGTTGCTGTCACAGAGGTGATGGGAGCACAGGTAGGTCACTCAGATCACCCCAAGGTAAATATTTATTGTGTAACTCACAGATTTATTCACTACACGGGTCATATAATAATCCGCTCGCAGCCAAACAAGATACAGGTTCTTGCGTAATCATGCCAGGATATCAAAGAGGAAATCAAAACTTTGTCTCATGTCAGATTACTCAATTTATTATTTTTTAACAGACAATGAGGCAGGAGAAGACTGTGAGACGCAGTCCCAGCCTCGTATCACAGACCCGCGGGATTCCTCCAGCCTCCCCGGCGTCAGCCGATCCTCCGGTCCGCCACAACAGCCAGCTGCTGATGCCCGTCCGGGGGGCACGTTAACGCATGTCGGGGGGATTAATATTCGGACAATTAAATGACTTACTCACCAAGAAGCCACCCATCCCGCACCGTGCCAGCTTGTAGCCTGTTAACAACCATGCTGTTGGTCAGAATGTGTTTTGATCAAGGCCGCCTCGCAACAACGTTACTTAAATGTATTTGCGCATCACAGATGATCTGTACACTGATTTAATAAAAAAAATGCCTCCTGTTTACATAAACAAATCCATCTTGTGATGGTGCCTTTATAGCAATGTGTGGCAGTCGATTACATCAGGAAAATCGGCCGTCGCTACAAATTGCACTTTTACGTCGTCCTGTTCAACTGAAGTGTGGGAGTTTGATATATCTGGCTGATATTCGGATGGTTCCATCCCACACAGCTGGCATGGCTCGGCTCACTGTCGACTGGCACAGTCCCGATCGGTCGGCCAGCTCCGTCTGAAATGACCCTGTGGCCAGGAAGCCCAGTGTGTCAGCACCTGTATGGGCACAGGTAGGACATGGCTCCTGGACGTGTTGCGCTCCAATAATGGCCACAGCTTTGTGCACAGTTCTAAGTGAATTGCCCTCGGGAACGTAAAGCGGCAGATGATCCAGTCGTCGTACTGAGGTCTCTGGAAATCCGTTCTCTTTGCACTGCTCCATTGGCAACATCCTCCAACAGTGCCAAAGCTGCCATTGTTGTTAATGGTATCTTCTGCACCGTTTTATGTAAACTTTTATATCCGCTCATCTGATTGCAAACACCTGGGTGTGTTAAGTGTTCATCTTAGTGTCTCTGATGTGCATATCACTTTGAGGAATTACTTTTTTTTTTAACATTGTTTTTTACATTTTTATATTCCCAGCATCACCTCTAAGTGTCGCCAACGGCTCAAAAGCAATCGAAACGTGCGTACGCCAGTCAAGAAGTTGGCGTGAAGGACCGCACATTTCCACCATCATTTCACTCTTGATACATCTGAACGTGAGCGTGCATAAGTGCGTACGCCAAGTTTTTGTGCGTACGCAGGCTTTGTACATGAGGCCCCAGGTTTGCACAATCACCAAACTGAGCCCCGCTGAGTCACTTTGGGACGAGTTGAACAGCAGAGTGAAGAAAAAGCAGCCAGCAGGTGCTCAGCATCGTGTGAACTCCTTCAAGACTGCTAGAGAAGCTTCAGGAGTTGACCTCATGGAGCGGGTGAAAGAAAACCTTTCAATGAGAAAATGAAGTGTGCAAACTTCTAACTGGTGCTATGTGTATTTTGAAACAAAAACCTTTTAGAACAATCCACACATTTGGTGATTTAGCAAAGTAAAGTAGGAATTTAAATGAATATCTTAAAAGCAGCGTGTAGTTGATTTGTGCTGTTGGTAGAAATGTTTCTAGATTGAACCATCCCGTTTCCTTCAGCTCATGACACTGATGCAGACGGACAACACATTTCATTTATCTTCAACTAAAGATGACACACGTGTGATGTTTCTGAGAAACAGAAATAGATGCTCACGAGTGACAAACTAAAGTTACTGTTTTCGCATACATTTTGAAAAGATGCGCTGTTTTAAATATCTTGATGTTGCAGTGAATTCTAGAGGATCCGTTAAGATTGTCATTCAAGAGTTGTATCGGCAAACTCGAGCTATGTTGGCTGGTATGAAATGTATTTGATTTTCCTGTAGATATCAGGTTGGATCTTTTTGACCAATTGTGCTGTATCACTAAGTCTGAGGGTTGAAAAACACACTGGAAAAACTCTGAAAAACCTGGAGAATACTCTCAAGTTTAAAACGACAGCCTGCACTGATGCTGTATACGAGGAGACAGGAAGATCACAAAGAGAATGAGGGCAAACAAAACTAAGCTTAGCTGTAAACTGAACAACTACTTGCTTGATAAC